TGAACACTGAAGTGAAATACTGAGTCTTTTTTACACACTTTACAATTAAAGTCTAAATTATGGTGCTACACTTGGTATACTAGCTGTTTGTCAGACGTTTCATAGTGAATAGATTCTCAACACGGATAAAATATCATTATAATGGTTTTAAGGTTGTATCATCAGGCTGAAAACCTGCCTCAGATTAATAACATGAATTTTCTAAGGGTTGACCTATGGTTTAGGGGTAACTTTCTGTAATTCTCAGCCTGTGTTCTTACACATTTACTTCCTCAGCAGTAGGTGTTTTAGGGCAGCACCAGGCATAGAGATGCTGTTGCTGTGGCTACAGGACAGCATCCCTCTTCTGTCACTTCCTACATGAATAGTAAATGGTAAAACACCTGATTTTTATCTTGGTGATGTATATGTTTGTGTTGTTCAAATGAACTTGGATTCTTATCAGGGTTGGAAAGTTCTTTCTTTCAGATGTGTTTATGTAACAAGAAATGCCAGAATAAAAGTCAGGGACAACATAAATAGCCAAGTAATGGCAGTGTTAGCTAATTCTGTATTTACTGGAATCCACTAGACTGCTCTTTAGCTGGAGCTGTAGTCAGTATGAATCTGCTGTGAGACTTTGGACCATATATGTTAATACACTACTCCTGAAAATAAATGACTTCATGGATTCATTTGGAGAAAAATATGGTTCAAAGATGGAATAAAACAGTGGTGAATCAAGCTTCTTATCCCTTGTAGTTATTATGCCGAAAGCAGGGTAGCAAATAAATACTGCTGGTGGTGAGCATTAAGTTTGCTCATTATAAATGCAGAGTCATGTACCAGTCTCTAGCATGATTTCATCTGGGAACATTGCCATAAGGATTACAAATGGCTTTCAGCCTGAAAATTGGTATGTATTGCTTTAAACTTCCAGCGGGGAGTTGGCAATTTATCCTTCAGATAATCATCTTGTGTTAAGTTGAACATCTTAGTGTAACTTTTTGCTACATGATAAACCAACTCCTATGAATAATTTACTGCAACTGGCAACCCACTTCAGCTCTGAAGTCTTTATCAAGTCTGGTGGCTTTTCAAAGTTTAATAATAAACTTGGAGCCAAAAATCTCATTGCACTTAAAGTCAGTGGAATTTCAATGTTAATTGCAACAGGAATCACAGTTTGACTTTAGGGTGTGTTCTGTACTGATCAACCACTGCAACACAGCACATAAGATGTGAGTAATGCACCAAAATTTTTATCATTCCTGCCCTCCAGGAAACCTGCCATAGCAGTCAAGTTGGTAATTTTTAGAAAGGACAGCAGTTTTCCAGGCCCTGACTGATTGGATGATCTATACCAGCAAGGTCTGTCCCATTTTTTTGGTCTGCTCCATCTGGCTAAGCTGGGCCTCACTGTCGGCATGGACGAGCTGAGGTTCTAAAGGGGATTTTGTGAATTGTGCGTGGCATCATCCCCCCTGTGTAAAACGAAGGCAGCCAAAGCTTGTCAGATGATCTCTAACATAAGCAAAGAAGTCTTTGCTACATGCATATGCTAGAATCCATATGCATTATCTCAGCTCTAACCTTTTATAAACCACAAGCTCCTATTTTCCCATTCTGAGCATTCCTGGACAGCTCTGCTCTGTGTTACATTCACTCCATGCCTCTGGCATGTGTGTGTGCTGTGCAGTGTTTTTCCCAGGGAGCATAAGCTGAGCAGAGGATGAACTCTTTGGCAGTGAGATGGCTGTGCAAGTGATATTTCAAGATTACAGCTGAAAGCAGAATTTGTCTCAGAGGAGATAGGTGGAATAGAAGGGCAAAAGGACCCTTTGTTCTGAATGTAACAACTGAGATTTAGAGGAGACTATGACTCCAGGCATAAACTCTCTTTTTTCTCTTCCATGCTGGTTTGCTACATGGCATTGCATCAGGAGGAAGGGAGAGACCCAGCTGTCCCAAAGGGTGTGTGTAACAGGTTTTGAGTCTTAGGCCTTTCTTCCTGGTAACCAAGGAAGTATTCCACTCTATCCCTTTATGTAAGCAGAGGTATAAATAAGAAAGAGAGAGAAGGCTCTGCCTCTTCTCTCTTCTGGCAAGGTTGGGAGACAGCAGGTCCCTGTGGTTGGTCTCGCTCATCTGGGAGTTGAGGCCTGGTCAGGCTCATTGTTTGCCACGTGGGAGGTGGAGGGTGCAGGTGGTGTCTGGTGCAATCCTGCTCTCTTAAGAGAAGTACTGAGATCTCATTTTACTAGGTTTTTTTTTTAATTGATTGTTCCTGGGTTTTGATTGTGCATTTGTTTTGGTTTTCTTTTTTGTCCCTTTTTCCCCTTTCCCCTTTGGCATTGTTTGGGCTTCTTCTTTTTAATATATACATAGTATTTTAACTGTATATAACCATACTATATGTAAATATATATATATATTTTAATATAGTTCTGGTATATTAAGTTTTCATAGTTTTTTTCTCTCTCACTCTTTGCTGGAGGCTTTTTGCTGGGTCTTGGGGACTTGGTGGGAAGCCAAATCAAAACTAAGACATTATGGCATGGTCCAATGGCAAATAAAGGGTGAAGCTGCTTCTCCTTTATTCTAGAGTTGTTCTGAGTAGCAGTACTGACACACTGCTTTTTTTTTTCATTGCAATATTTAAAGGTTTCCTGATATTCGAGCAAATTTTCAGAAAAAGTTAAGCTTGGAATACTAAATAGAAAAAAAAAGTAACATTCAGCCAAGTAGTTCACTTGAAATGTAGCTGGGGAGAACATTTCAAACACCAAATTTTCTCTGATGGTTTCTAGTCATTATGATAATTTCTGGAGAATCCTAGGCTATGAGGCTCCCTAGCACTCATTTGTGTTTTCATGTTTTAGCTGTCTTTTTAGGACAAATAAATGTTGTTCTTAAAAAAAAAGAAAAAAAATGTTTTATAAAAATTAAAAGTATGCCTTGACTTGACCTCGTGCTTTCACCTTATGAAGATTTTGAGACTCATTTTATTAGTTGTAATTGTGTGATACTAATCTCAGTTTGCTTGTCTTGTGTTTTGCCTTAATGTGAATTGTTAGAGAGATAATTAGGTGGAGCAAACAGAAATGAAGCAATGGCCTTAGATAGGACACTCCTAAGAAAATAAATTCCAGAAAGCTGCAGAATAATTGGTCCTTTAGTTGGAAGATGCTGGTTTTACAGGCATAAGGCAATTTGCAGTCCAAGTTTCTCAGCAGATACAAAAAAAAAAACCAACTATGAAGCAATTTGCAAAAATCCCCACAGTCTGGAGGAAGATTAGTTATAAAGAGATTCATTATGAGGCTGGTCTTTAAGAACAGAAGAGAGACTGAAACAGAAGCCTTGTGGCAGAGACCCATGTCATGCTTTGAAGACAACCAATATGCTTCTCTTCTGAGCCAGGGAGGAAGCTTTCATTCATTTGATCATTTACTTGCTGCAAATCTTTAGATTAATAACACACTGTTTGGTTTTGAACGATTTCTTCTCCATCACTTTAATGTGCTGTGAGCCCCAGGCTTCCAGAGGAAGTTTCCTGAGGTCACTGAATGTGGCTGGACCTGCAGGGAGGGCAGGGAAAGTGGCAGCCTCCAGAGCCAGCCTGTCAGTGTGAGGATGGCACTCCCCCACCCTTAAAAAGCTCCTGGTGGGAGTGTAGATGAAGGAGATGTGGCAGCACTGAAGGCTCAGGGCCTACGTTGACTCTGGCACTTTGCGGATCACAAATTCTGCCTGTGTTTTAACAGTTTCTCACTGACAGTAATGCTGAATCCTTGTAGCTTCACTTTTTGAGAAGGTAAGTGCCTTTTGTCAAACCTAACTGATTTCCTGAACGAAGGTGCTCCCTTCCACATGCCCAGGAGACATAGTTGTACATCAATGCTGTTACGGTGGGAAAAACAGATGGTAAAGTGCTGTGGGCTAGGACAGACTAATGAAATGTAAGGAGGCTTATTTTGTTACAGAATAAGGGAGTTGTTATCGTGTGCTTTGGTACCAATATCCAAGCAAGATTCTTTCTGTGGAAATTCAGTAGCTCCTCGGGGAGCATGTATGTGATGGTGATGTGAAAATGTGTGCTTGTTTTGCTAAGGCAGCATCCTCAAAGTGCAAAGGAACTTTGAAAGAATGCTCTAAGTCAGCATCCAGCAAGTGCCTTGACTGCAGTAGAACTAAACAAACTTTTGTCTTTTGAATCTCTAGTCCCTTGAACAAGAAGTGCTGTGACATTTACTGCTGTAGCAGAAGCTAAAGGTCCAAGTTCTGAGTAAAATTTTCAGAGTTACCCTAGCGACTTAATAGCTCATATTCAGTATTCAGTCATTTGGACTTCCAAGACAGAACAGCTCATATTCAGTATTCAGTCATTTGGACTTCCAAGACAGAACCAGACTGGTTGTTAAAAAACACTTTCCAGAATTACTGCAGAATTTCTATCCTGTTGTGTTAGTTGATGGTGATATTCTAATACAGTAGGAACAAATGTGCTGGTAAAATGCATTTTGCCAGTATCTTTTGAAGTGTTTTAAACAAAAGTGCCTCAGCTGTCCGTTTTGTGCTGAAGTGGACTGCAAAACAGCTACTTGTGCTTGTTGGTGCTTGTTAAAAGCATACTCTTGAAAAAGTACTGCTGTGACCATTAAACTATTAAACAATTTATTTAAATCACGGGTGCAAACTGGTCTTTACAGGGCTACACGTGAGATGTTAAAGCACGATCATATTTTACCTAAAGGTCAATTTAAATGTGCTCAATAAAAAGTCATAATGTGCATACCTGGCACATAAGTTATGAGATGGTAATTCAGTTCACATAACTCCGGTGGTTAAATCTCCTACAGCCCACTCCAAACAAGTAATTTGTGTACCATCTTTAAACAAACAAACAAACAAGCCACAAAATAAAAAAAAAGAAAAAAGAGAAAAAAAAGAAAGAAACAGGAAGATATAGCATGAAAGCAATTAAAATATTTTTTAATATATGAAATTATTTACAGGGAGACTTTACCACGGTTTCATGTTTAACGGCTGTAGGTTTCAGACTAGAACAATGTTACTCAGTAGTGTCAATAGTTAATTCTGTTTTACCAAATGGATGTCCTTCTTCATCCTAACATAGTATTATGTTCTCTCAGTGCAGGGTCTGTTTCATTCTCAGGGTGGGTGAAACGAGCCATGGATTGTCTGTAGCTTTCAAGAAAAGTTTTCTGGCCAAGTGCAACACAAAACAGTACCTTGCTGTTTGCTGTCATGCTGCTCCATTTGAATTTGTAGAGTGTATGTGCTTTTGATGTGATTCCTCCATTAGAAAAACATAGCAGTCAAGTTACCAACATTGCAAGGTTGTCCAGTGTTTTGAATTCTGAAATGAAATAAGATATTATTGTATAAAATACTAAAATGTTTATAATAATATAGAGAATAATTCAATATTATCCATATTACTGGGTAAGCAAAGCAACATCTTAAAATCAAGTCTTATTGGACAGACTGCCACCCTACCACAGTCTGTTCCAGTTTGACCCTATTTTTACATACCACCTATGAGCTGCAAAGTGCTTTTCTCAATACTAGGTGAGCATTCAAGATTTCACACCTCTTTTTCTAACTGGTCCACAAAGAAAAATGAAGTGATATTAGCAGGTAGGCTGAGTTCTCTGAAAATATGTAGGAACCTGCTAATTAAATCTATTAGGCATAATTGCATTTGATTCTTCTACTTCCGTACAGTTTTGCCAACAAACTGAATTGAGTAATTCCCCCAGCCAGAGCCATCATTCTGCTTCTGCCCAGAAAGATGCTCAGACTGAATCATTGCTGCTTTGACATAAAAAAGAAATAAAATGCTGGTGGAGCTTTACTGTGATTACCTGCAGCCTTCAGGCTTCTGTGAAAGGCTGAGTGGACTGAGCTAATAAAAACAGCTCAGCCCTGAGGGTTTGCAGGCACACCCCTTTCTTTTGCACGAGCAACCTTGAGCTATAGCATGCACTTCTTAGAGCTACAGCCAAGCCTGCTCATTTGTTTCCAGTGACTGATGAGTATCATTCAGAAAAAAAAATGAAAACTTCCTTTATTTTCTTCTACTGTGTTTTCTGTGGTGACAATGTGCTGAAATAACAAATTCTTCCTATTAGTTAAAAATGAAAATTAATGACAATTTCCCTCTCTGTTTTCTAGTAGTAGTTCCAGGTAAGGGATAAACGAGCTGCAACAAAATGTTCATCTATAGAGTTAGTGTTTCCTAGCAATCCCCTTTAAAGATCATCTTGCTATATGACTACCTCAGTATCTCTAAAAATAAAAGCACATCTGAATAGATCATAAATGTGTCTAAAGTAGTTCCTGTTGGTCTGTCTAGAAAGTGCTTTCTAAATGTTTATTGCTCTTCTAAGGAATCAGTTTTGTGTGCAGGAATGTTAATAACCTGACCTGTGGATGGAGTTTGTTGGGGTGTGACCTTGTTGGTCTTTCCATGGTTCTTACAGTTTACTTCAATCCCTCACAACCAATAATCTGGAAATGTGCTCTGCTAGGTCCTTTTATTACCCTGCTCTTCTCCTGTAAGGCATGACTGAACTATTCAACTTTTCTCTGTTCAACCTCTTAAAACCTAGACTCACCTCACTTCAGCCAGCTCAGACTTGTCATTTCTGTGGGGTAAAAAAACCAAAACTTCATTAAGGGGGGCAAAACCTTGGATTGATCTAAACCATTAATGGCAACTTCATTAAATTTTATGCAACTCTGTCCGTTTACATCTGCTGCAGATCTGCCCTGGCAGTGTTACAGGAGGGTAAACAGGGGAGTTAATCTTGCCCAGGAACACCACCATTTGTTTTCCTTCTATTCAATCCCTGCACTGACTGCTTTCAGCATTCAAATATTTTTATTTTTTTTTTACATGAAGCTCCTGCATATCTCCTCAGGCCTGATTTGTTCTGTTTTTCTTCTTTCTCTCCTGTTTTATCAGTTTTCACACACATAGGAACATACACATATAAAACAAGTTACAACATCAACAATGAACAAATAGCAGCAGATAGTATCAGCAACTTCTGGGAATAAAAAAGATTCCCGAATACACACAGCATAATTTCCAGCTTCCCTTTTGTTATAGACAAAGGCATTAATGTTATGACAGAGACATTAATTAGGTGCTTCTGTCCACTCTCATCTGTTGATACCGCGGAGTTATCAAAGACACCTAAAGCATGATGTTTCCATTTCATCTTTTTCATTGTTCTTCCAAGAAAAAGGTTTGATTTTAGCAAAATTAATTCTATTTGTGAATAGCAAACAGGGAATCACGGAAGAGTCCTGTGTTACGTTCCTGGGCTTGTATGTAACCTGTTAACCTTCAAGAGGACATATCATCTCCATCTAGCAAGCTCACCTTCTTTCCCCTTTTTTTTCTTTCTTCTAGAGAAACCTCCCATATATCTTTGTAGACAAACAGAGTAGAAAGAATTTGTATAATATAATAATTTCATGCCTTTGGTCCTAAGTGTAATAACTGAGGCCTATGAGGCCACTCATATGAGGGTGTATCTCTTGCTCTTTAAAGCAGGAAACAGCAACAAAAAGGCACACGATGAGACAACAATCAGTTGTGTTTGCATATTTCCTCTTAAATACTTAACCAGCATTTACTTGTTGATAACAATGAACAGTTAATTGCTAATTTAGAACAACTTTTAAAACCTTGTATTGCTTCCTGCATGAAAGAAAATCATTAAAAAGCCACTATGGGGTCAGCCTACTGCTATTCAGCATATTTATCTTTGCCATTGGCTTTTGGGTAAAAGTGCTGCTTCTGTGTAGAGGCCACAAATCTTATTTGTGTTTCCTGTTGCAGAATGTTTATTACACAAGCAGTCAGCAGCTCCACGTGGGTGTTCTGAGTCCCACTATCGACGATGATGACAACAGATGCCTGGTGGATGTGAACAGCAGGCCCAGGCTCATCGAATGCAATTATGCCAAAGCCAAGAGAATGAAGCTTTACTGGCAATTTACTCAGGTAATTCTTACTCAGCAGACATTTTGGAAAGTTTAAAAGCTGTTTCTGTATCTGAAGTGTGAGTAAAATGTTCACTAACAGAACAGAACGAGATTTATCCTTGCTTTCTTTGCATAAAGCCAGGAAGCTGTTGTTTAGATTTGCTCCCAATGTCAGCTACCAAAGGAGGGTACAAAACCTGTATTATATTTTCTAAGTTTGCCATAAATAATTTGTTTACTATTATGGAATTATCTCAATCAAAAAACAAACAAACAAACAAAAAACCCCAAACCCCCAAAAAAACAGCAGCAAGGAACAGAAATCTTTTTGTTTGTTTAGAAGTAGCAACTCAGAAAAGGCAGTAGCAGATCATTAGTGATAACAGCCTCATAATGAGCTACTTTTGCAGTTCCTTTCTTAAAAAGGCTAATGTTTTTGTGTATGTGTGTGGGGGAGTGTGAGACAGATAAAGAAAGAGGTGCAAGTAAAGGCTGTGAAGTGAGTTTGCAGGGATGAGGATCCTGATAGGATGCCTAGTCCAAGCCTGGTGTCCACACTTCATAACTGATTTAGCAACTTGAGGAAGAACTATAAAGAAGCCATAAAAGTTCTGGGGCTGAAAAACATGCTCTCCAATGTAATGCTTATGGAGATCACTGTTTGGTTTAGCTAAGAGGAAGTGGCAAGGTCACTCACAGCATATCAGTGTTTCCACAGAGGGACAGGTTATCCTGAGGGCAAAACAGGTTCTGGTGGCTGAAAGCTAAAGATAGTCAGATTTGGTCTTTCAAAGGAAGATGAGATTTTCCTAAGGTAAGTTTAAGACCATGGAAGTTTACCATGTCAGGTACTGAGAGGTTGGTTGTTTTGGATCAATAAAATGAAATTACATTACTTTCTAAAACAAGTGCATGACTTAGCTTCTGGGGAAAATGTCATCCCAAGTGTGAGTTTGCCTGGTCTCACAGTTGCTTCTCTGCAGTTTTGAGTCTACAGATCTAGTTGTGTACTTCAGCCCACAAGCTGAAGCTTATCACTGAAGTAATTTTATTCCTGCCTTTATTTTTTTTCTGTAATATCCATGTGAGTTTGCAGATATCTTTTCTGTCAACTCATTAGTATATTTTTCTATAACACCCATTATCCGCATATTTGAGGACCTTGTTAATACAGGTTAGCATCAGTCTTGGTGCAGAGAGCATCTAGACACTAATCACCAAAGCATACTATTAACATAATTTGTCTTTTTACTTGAAAGTAATCCAGATATTTGTCTTTCAACAGTAACTCTCAAGTAGTAGACCTTAAATCCCTAAACTGGAGAGACATCCCAGCTTTTGCTTTCAGTCCCCTCAAGGGCAAAGTTCTAATTATGCCTTCTAACAAATTTTAACACTAGTCTTGCCATGAGGAGGACCTCACTGTATCCATCTCTGCACTTGATTTGTAATAATTTCTAAAAACTGTAATTAACATATTCCTTTAAAGAGTATTTCAGTAACATTTTAGTATTGTTCACCCTATTCAGTGATTGCTCTGTATCACCCTAACCCTTTGGTGATAATTAATGGTTTCTACTCCAGGATACTACTACTGTCTTAGATCTGATTATCTTAGGTCTCATTTGAGGGGCAGCAGTAGAATGCCTTGATAATTTAGCCATTAAAAGCTTCCAAAATGGTATTTAACTGCATTAGGTTTGTTTCGATTCCACATTCCAAACACAGTCTCTCAATGAAGTTGCAGTTAAACTAGATTCTATGGACTCTATGTTCCTTCTACAAAGGAACTTCTGCCCAGGAGAAGTGAAAGCTAATTAGTTGTTTCTTTAGGATAAATTAAGAGACAAATGAAATAATTAAAAGCTTTCTGTTCAAAAAGGATTTAGTTAATACCCAATGCAATTGAAATGTCATTATTGCTCAACATACAGCCGGATACACAGCCCTGGGTATGTTCTGTAAGCTACAAGAAAGCTAATGAATGTAATCAAGGCTTGCCAAGATCAACTGATCAACTCCCTTTGAAATGCTCCCATTTAGTCTGGTGAAAAGATGTGTTTATGTGAATATGCTGGAAGCTGTCTCTCTGAAAAGAGTCTTTTTTTATTACTTTTTTAAAGCTCTGGTGGTTCTTTTCCATATTGTGCAGTGAGCAGAATGCCTGCGAGTAAGCAGGATGCTTATGTAGTCTTGAAATTTGTGAACTATTAGTTAAAATGTAGATTTTGGTTGTAGCTTTCTATAGCACCTTCCTTTGGCTGCAAATGTGCTTGGACTTTTCTTGGCCCATTCAATAAGACTGTCTGATGCTATAGATAATTAAAAATACAACAGTGCAAGTGGAGAATTGTCGTAGAAAGGGACTGGGAAAACAAACTCACCACCCAAAGGAGGATAAACCCATTGACCTAGACTTCCCTGAGCAGCACAAAAATCAGTATTTTTTCCTGCATTCCATTTATGTTGAATTAATTTGAAGGAGGAAACAGTCTCACTGTATCACACTGTAACCTGAGAGGCACCTGTGGTAGGACATGGATAGCAGACTGGCTGGTAGAAGACTGTACAGATTTTTGAAAAAAGTATTCTTCAGATAACATTTTCCTCCTCCTTTGCCCTGTTGAAGTGTAATGATGAGCGAATTCTGTATGACAAAAGTAGAATATGGGGTCATCCTGAGCTAGGAGACTCCTTGCCTCCATAGATCTAGTCCAGTATTATTTAATTATGAATTTGCATCTTTGAATGATTAGAAGCATGTGTGTATACACATACATATAAATATAGATAGATAGATAGATAGATTTTTTTTAAAAAAAGTGTATCTTTTACTTTGGTTTTAAAATTTTAAATTCCCCGGCTACCTTCAGTTGCAGGCAGCTGGAGTCAGGCAGCCAGATATCCACTGCTACCCTGTGGACAAAATGGTGTTTTGATGGACAGTCAAATGGAGGGAAAATACCTCTGGTATCTTTCTGCACAGGGCAAACTTGCATTGAGCATTCAAAGCTTGTATTATGTGTTTGTATAATCAGGATCTATCTGAGCACATTTCCATGCTCTACGGTTTTGTACTGCTGCCAAATGCAATAAGACCCAATAAAATGTAGGCTTCAGTGACATTCTTTCTTCCAAAGCTTCTTCAAGTCCTTATAACTGTAATTATGTCAAATTATGTAAATTAGCCCTGAAAAGATTTACATCAACTGGGTAGGGTTCAAGAATCCTATTGTTCAGGCTGTTTGTCAAGTCTTCTCTTAGGGAAATGTTTATTTTGGAAATACTTTTGTGCTGGTAAGTCTCCTAGGTGTTTGACAGTTCACCTAGTTCAGTCTGTCTCACTGCTTTTTCAATTAATCAGAACAAAATTAGACCTTATAGCAAAAAAATGGTAAGTGATCAGAAATAAGCCAAGGCAAAGAGGATAGAGGCAAGAATTACATAGCAGTAAAACGGCCAGAATTTTACCAAAATATTACTTTAAGCAAGGAAGCTTCTCTGGCATCATGAACCACAAGGAAAGCAAAAACTAACCTCAGCTGTGCATTATTTAGTAGTAAACAATTAATCCTGCTCACACCCTGTGAGTTCTTTTCACCAAGGAGCAGGTGCAGACACAGCATGCCGGCAGCAGCACCGCGCTCCCTGAGGAACTGAGGGCTGGAACCGAGTGTCGGGTCAGCAGCACTCGGGTATGACAGTCACTGCTCAGTAAAGCTGCTGGCACTGCTGCAGTGACTGTGTTACATGGTCTGTGTGGTGACAGAGAAGGGGCCACAAGATGTAGGATGTAGGCCAGCACACCGCAGGACATCCTTCAGTAGAAGCTGCTTATGGCCAGAACCATGCTCTTCTGAACTGACTCTCTGAGATGATTAAGTTTGTTCATGCGCTAAAAAAATAGCACATTCTAAACGCTGCAATCAGTTTTTCTGGAGGGAGTGGATTGGCTTGGGGTTTTAAGAAGTCTCCAGTCTGATTTCTCAGGTTTATTGCTGATGGCAGGTCAGACGTTTGCCTTACAAGTGAAATTCGTCTCTACATACCTCACCTGGGTGGCAGCAGGTCAGTGAGAAAGTACACTTACATCATGTCAGGAGTCCTCCAGAGGCATAAGAAAGACAAAAGGAGGGTTTTTCTGTAACTACTCTTTATCTTGAAGTATCTTCATGTTTCTACTTGGTTGGATAGGGTTGTGACTCCCTTATACTAATCAGACTACCTATGCTGTCACTATTTACTGTCGTGAAAAACATGACAGATGAGGGCTCTGTGTAAAAAGAGGTATAAGAGAGAACACAAGGCTGACCTAAAACCCTGAGACTAATCCTTTTAAGGCTGCTCCATGTTGAATTCTTTTTGCTACAGCATAAAGTAATTCACCTTCCAGTGTGGTTGCCATAGAAAGGTGGGAAAAATGCATCTGTGGGGACAGACACTCACCACAGCCATCATGGGAGGGAGAGGATATGCAGGGCCTACATCTCACCTCTGTCCTCTTCCCATACCCACTGATAACATAGCTTTGCATGTTGTGGGGAATTGTGATTATAGTCAGTGCTGCAGGTTTCCACAGGAGATCTTCCAGTTCAGAAATGTTTGGAGGGGGCGGTTTGTGCTATCCCGAGAAACTGCAAACAAAATTTGTTGCTGACAGCTGTGGTATAATTTCCTAAATATCATAGTAGGAATTGCTTTGGAAAGAAAAGGGAAGACAGACAAGCAAATTAACGACTGAGTTGTTAGAGTATTCCACAGATCAGTATGATGATTTAGATCTCATTTAAATAGATATTAGATAATAGATACTGCAATACTACTGCTAGCTAGCACCATTACCCACAACCACATCCCAGAAAAGCACAGGAATGCAGGATGCAGACTGCATGGCAGGATTAAACTGGTGGCCTATGAAGCAAGGAGAGAGTCTGTGTACCAATTTCATATGCCCCCTTGCTGAGCACACAGTGCAGATGCAGAGCCCAATTCCTTTTAATGTCCACTCTAGTTTTCAGCCCATACATTAGCCAAGGACATCAGTGTACCAGAGGGATTCATTTCAGTAGAGCTGTGTGTGTCTAAGGGAACAGTGGTCCCCATCAACTTCATCAGATTCTTCCATTATGAGAGCCACAGGATAGAAAAACAGCATCATTAATTTATCAAGAATTTGGATTTATGCTGTATTTCTAATCCCAAAGGGTGCAAATACTCTCAATATGTATTTGTGGTATAAGGCATGCTGTACTGCTATACAGCTATATAATTAGGCAGGACTGTTTGCCTGGCAGCTCAGAACAGAAAGGGGTTGTGATCCTGTTAAAAGAAATACAGACTTTGATCCTGCAGGAGAAATACAAAGGAAAATAGAACCTAATTATTCAATTAAATGAACCAACAGACTAGGTTAAAACCTGTACTTTTAGTGAGGCTATCTGATTTTTAAATAACCAGTGTTGCCAAGTGTGAAGTTTTGAACTTCAGACCCAAAAGAGCATATCCGCAAGCCCCAGGAGGCCCAGTGAAATGGTGGTGTATGGGTACAGCAGCACTTTCTTCTATATTTAGATATTCTTTGCCCATTTTCGATCGAATGTTACCCTAGCTTGCCTGTGCCTTATATTTTAACTAACTGGATAACCACACACTGTGTTACAGCTGAAGGAAAAGGAATTTGAACCATTGTTCTGCTTAGACATGAGAAAGTAATAGTTAATGTTTTCATTTTCATTTTGCTCTAAATTTGTCCCTAATTCATGTGCAACTTAATATTCTAGTTGTATTTTAATATGACAATATGAATTTAAAGAAACAGGTATGTTAAAGAATTTCTTTTTTATTCTCCTTGAACTATGTCTTACTATAAGCCTGTAAACTCTTTAGTCCCATTTAAGCAGAATGGAATTGTTGAGAAGTACAAAAATATGAAAGAATTCTGTCTTTCTCCATTTTGAATACTTGACTTCCACTTAAGTATGAAAATTTATAAGCAAAAAAACATGTACAAAAAATAAGAAATACAAATATTACTATATAGTATTGTGTTTTAACAACTAATGTTAAATTTGCTTGGCAATTATTGCTGTAGCTAGTGGTGATCAAAATTCCATTGTAGCAGTTTAGTCTTCTATTTGGAGTAATTTTCTAGTAGCAAATTTTAATCTTTGAAAATTAGGTGTAGAACTTGCCAGCTAGAAAGTTTGTGTGTGAATACAGCAATAAAATGAGCTTTTAGTGGGTGCATTTCAAGTCTTTTCTAGCATATCACATTATGCAGTATTTACTCTCCTGAGGACTACATTTAAAATCCAAAGACACTTGTGCCGAATTAATTTAGAAGGAAGTTAACACATACCCATGTTTTTCCTTCAAAACAGATACCTTATTTGCATATTTTAGCATATAATTTTTAAACACCACATTTATTTTACAAAGAAATTATTTGTTCTAGTTCTGTATGATTTTTCCTAATTTCAGATGTCCAAATAGGCTCCATCTAAAAATCACAATGACAGCTGCTGCTGAAAAGGTACTGCATGGCATTCTAACATCAGGCATGTAAAAGAATGGCCAAATCCAGATTATTTCCTACAAGTTGTCTGATAACCAGCACTTACCAAATGAAGCGGCTGAGTTTTGGGAGATCCGAGCTCTTTACATTACTGCACCAATGACTTCTTGGGTTCTGCATTCCTCAGCTGGGAGATGGATGGAATGATTTTTGCCTTTAGCATACATCTTTTATTATTTGTAACTTCCCAGATGAAAACGAAACTCTGTCCTGATGAAGTCAGTAAAAGTTGCATCTTTCATTCCAATGGAGACAAAACCAGTATCTATGTGACTAAGGTTTGGCTACCAAATAACTCCCTGCAGTCCAAGATGCAAAGATGAGAAAAATGTTCCCTTGAAAGTAATAAATAAGGATGAAACAATGATGTCTATGACAAGAAAACAGGGTTTGTCATTCAGTGAAATGATCAGGCCATTAAGTCTGGTATCTTGAACCCAACAGCAATGACTCTTGGTATAACAGACAGAAAAATACATGATTTCCATTATTGTCTGAGTAAACTGTGAGAGGTTTTGTGCAGCAGCAGCAAGGACATTCCTTTTCCAATATCAATGATAATCAGCTTTTTGTGGTTACTAGGGAAAAGCCATTTTCGTTATCTAGACACTGTGATCAGAGTCCCAAAGAGCCCAGCCTAAATTCCCATGTTAGAATATGCAGATCAATTGAAATACTAGTGCAGATTCGTTTCCTAATTTTCTTGACTTGGCACTCAATTTATTTCTTGGTCTCTAGAGACTGGTTTAATCATAAGCATATAATGACAATGGAAGTAGTTTGGTTTCTGGGTTAAAATGAGCTAAGCCTCCTTCATATTGAGCATTTATGTTAGAAAACCTGGATTAATTGAATACAACACACACATGCAAAAGAAATAAATTGTCATTCAGTATTTTTGTTTTCCAAAGGAGTTATGTCTCACAAACAAATAGGCATTGCTCTCATCTAAAACTCAAAAATCTTTAGGAATCTGTTATTATATCTGTGGGAAAATATAAAAATCTTGGGTTTCCTGATTTTGCTGAAAGGAGTTTCTTCTTTGTCTGGCTGAAAATGAATAACTAGGTATCACCTATACTAGGTTGGTAAATAACAATGGGAAGCTGTCTTCTTTACATTAGTTTGCTATATATGCTACGTTAGAACAATATTTTCCTCCGTAAGGAGAAAAAGAGAATAAAGCAGTAAGGTGCTCTTAGGCATGAGCTTCAGGTGCATGATGTCAATGTGTATAGTTTTATGCTCCTCACTACCAGCAAGACATTGAGGTGCTGCAGCATCTCCAGAGGACAACAGGGCTGGTGAAGGGTCTGGAGCACAAGTCTGTTGAGGGACAGCTGAGGGAGCTGGGGGGGTTTAGTCTGGAGGAAAGGAGGCTGAGGGGACACCTTATCACTCTACCTGAAAGGAGGTTGTAGCAAGGTGGGTGTTGGTCTTCTTTCTCAGTGACAGGACGAGAGGAAATGGCCTCAAGTTGTGCCAGAGGAGGTTTAGATTGTCTGTCAGGAAAAATTTCTTCACTAAAAGGGTTATCAAGCACTGAAACAGGCTGCCCACAAAAGTGGAGGAGTCACTATCCCTGGAGGTATTTCAAAGACATGTAGATGTGCCATTTGGGGACATGGTTTGGTTGTGGACTTGGCAGTGCTGAATTAACAGTTGGACTTGATAATCTAAAAGGTCTTTTTCACCCTAAACAATTTTGTGATTCTATATACCAAAATTATGATTACTTCAAAACCAAGCAAAGAGGCAAAACCTAGGAATACACAATTTGCTGCGTTACAGATCAGAAAATTAATTTACTGGATTAATTACCTCATCTAGAAGACTGCCTCAGGAAGTGGTCAGTGCTTGCTGTTTCAGAGAAATGAGCTCTGTTCTGAGCCAGCAGTTCACTGTAGGACCAGAAAGAGGATTATTTTTTTGACCCCTGATGTGCTCTTTTCAATAAGATTGAGAATTGATTTGTCTGAATGATCATCTCAGCTTGCCTACAAAGAGTTGTTTTATCAGCACTCTTAAAATTAACTCAGCCCATAAAAAACATCTAGTCAGTCACTGAACACCGACACCTGTGAAAATGAATTCAACAGGTTTCCTATATCCTAATAAATCACAGCAATTTTGCAAATTTCTAAACCAACAGCCCTTTTTTCCTAAGAAAGTTTGTTTAACAGTTTTTCACTGATATTTATACTTTTGATCACTAAAGTCAGGTCCCACTAATTTTCATTCACATCCTAAGCCAAGTCCTGTTTCTTTTTCTTGTTCATGTATTTCGTAACTCCCCACCATCTGAATATTCCATCACACTTCAAAGTATCTTTGTTGCCTTTCTCCATCTTCCACTTTAGACATCTTGAAGCAAGCCTAGATCAAGGCAGATATATCAAGCCTGAGTTGTTTGCAGAAGTCATTTATATGTAATCTCAGAATGAAAGAGAAAAAGGTAACTTTTCTGAGCTTTTCACAAAATGTATTTTTAAAATATGCAAATAAAGCCAATGTCTCCAGCACTCCCATCTTTTTCCTAGTTGTATCAAAATATTGTTTCATTATGCAGGCAGCTACTGCATGGCACAATCTATGAAAATAAACTATATAAGAAAAAAATTTGTATTTTTAGTTAGAGTAAAATTATTCTGCAGAAAACAAAGCAATAACTTTTCTATAGGCCAGGTCTCACTCATGACTCCAGAAATGTTTAGAAACATAGGATTTACTGATATCCAACACTCCTGCTAGTACAAGAGGTACAAAATGTAGCAGTTCTTATTGTTGTGACCTTACATAGTTTAGAAACATATCTTAAATTTAAATTTAGAACTTTAGAGCATCAAAGTTCAAGCACTAAGTAGTCAATGACTACTTAATACAGAGGGTTCTGCATTTACAGTTCTCTGAATGCTACCAGGCAGGACAGCAGGCAAAGGAGGATGCAGGAGAGACACTTGGGAACAGCATCCCATCTAGTAGCGAGGAAAAAAAACCAAACCAGAAATATCAATCTGTGAATCATCTCTCACCAACATGCATTGCTGGAGCTCACTCTTTTATGAGTGTCAGTTCTCAAAAAGGCATGTAATTGTTTTCTAAATGGTTTGTCCAGTTCACTGGTTACTCAGGACAGCAGCTGTGGTCAGAAAAGCCCCATCATTATCAACTGCACAACATAAAGCCAGTTTTTGCTTTTCTGCAAAGGACTCACTAGGTAATCCTAGCTATCAGAAGATCAACATAATACATCATCATGTGGATTTGCTGCCAAAACAAAACCAAACAATATGTTCAGCTGTAAATCCTGCGTTTAGCCATAATTATCAGGGCTATGTATGGATAAAGGATTCTCTTTTTAATCTGCTTCCCACTGTACCACACCCCCACACACATCCCTGGGAATAGGGTTCAACAATTAATTTTAAAAATCATATTGTATACCTAAAATATTCGTTTCTGCAGATGTTTTTCTAGTATGTCAGGAAAATTTCCTGGCCACTGCTGGTAAAGTAAAAATTCATGTTTAGTTTCTGAAAAATGTCTAACGATCTTTCTAGTCTGGCTAATGTATTCTACTATAAAACTTCCTTCCATTTTCGTAGTTTTAGCCCCATTTTCTGAAGGAAAAATGCATTTTCAGCTATCATACCTTGAAGAGTTTCTTGATATTTCGGTGAAGGCTTGGATTTATTTCTTTTCAAGGTATTATTTTCTTAATCTTGTTATTCACAGTCTGTTATAAATCTGTGATAAAATTTTATATATATATGGAGAGATATTAGTGATAGTTATAAATCCATACATTCCATTTCTGATTTGAATGCTGTATGTCTGTTTTTTCTATTGCAGTACATTCTCTGTATGAAACTGCATTTCCTTTTGCCAGGTTTAGTTGCCTTTGTTTTAATACTTTAATTAATGGTATTGTATATTTCTATATTCTGAAAATTTAACTATTACACCTTTAAAGGGCTGTGCTCAGAACCTGGGCTCTTCTACATCCATGTAGCCAATCTAGATTAAACAAAACAGAAAATGATTGCATAAACCACCAGCTTCTAAAACCCAGTCTGGACATACAGATGAGGCTGCATCATTTGATTCATCACAGCTGCAGAATAAAAAAATTTGTTGCAGCAATATAAAAATCCAACACTTATGATTATCTAAAACCTGAACACTCACTCAGATATCTTGGTAATGGAATGAGACACAACAGTTTAATGTCTCCATCACGGTTTAACTGTTGAATGATGTGTCTAATTCCACTGTCAGAGGATGTTTCATAGTATTTATGCATTGGTTACGAGCAAGTGGCTCTAAGACCAAGGCTTGGGTGGCTTGACAACAGATTCTGAGTGCAGGAAGAGGAAAAAAAAATAACTTTTTTTCCTTAAAAAATGGTTTGGCTGATCCCTATTTTAACACTACTTAAATTAAAATTGTACATATCAGTTAGTTTTGGTTAGTATTGAAGAAAGAAATTCACATTTTAGGTGTGTCTGGTAGGCCTATCTACCTGTAAATAGGGATCTAAATAGCTGACAGACAACACCTTTTAAATATATCCCCCTGCTCTATATAATACTTCATACACATGATAGCAGTTAAATGCACTGTATTTTCACAGCAGTCATCCAATATATTAGGAAGTAAGTGCCTTTGAAGAAGAGCAACGTTGCCTTTGAAGAAGAGCCATGTACTTCACTGAGAAATATTTCAATTTAAATAGTTAAAATTAATTGATGAAAGGTTTGAACAACAAGGGGTATGCTATAGAGTCTGTTTTACTTACAGCAAATCCATTTGACAGAGTTGTGAAATTTATCATACTGCTTTAGATTTGAGAAGGAATTTATCAGTTACCTCTATATTATATATACCTATATCCTTTTTACAACTATAAAGCAGAAAATCTAAACCCAATAACATCATCCAGTATTTCTAAGCAATTGGCAATACTGAAGATATATTAATTACTGTATGGGATTAATTATTCCCTTTTTCCTATGAACACTTCCTCACTGCATCAACATCTGTACAGAATTGATCACACAGAGGAAAAAATGACTAGTAAAATTCAAGCAATTTTCTTTAGGATTAAGTTTGGTGTAGTAACAGTCACTGAAAATTTACCCCAATATTCCAGAGAAATGCATGGGAAGATCAAGTGTTCTGTTTAGAGTGGGGATTATCTATGTCTCATATACCACACCATAATTCTTCTATTCAAATGTATCAAAGCAACAGTGAAGATTAGACTTTCTGCCTCAAAGGCAGAGTGAACATGTAAATATTTGAGGTCACTGATGGAGGTCCAAGTAGAAAATTAATAGATTAGTGAATGCAATGATCTATATATTATATGTGATATGAGACTGGATACACTCATTAACCTTTTAAGACCTTTTCCTGAAATATCATCCATGGTTAGGCAAGCTGGTAAAAGCACTTTTTTTTTTCCTCTTTTAGGTAGAATAACATGAGCTTTAATGTGATGAGCAAAAAATAGGTTTAAACTCTGCTAGGAAAAGCACATGCTTTAGAGTAACTTGTGAAAAATAGCTATCAGTCTGATTTTCAGTAATACATTCATTCAACATCCCTCAGTTTTACAAGTGAACAAACCCTGTCTTAACTTTCATGCTTATGAAGCTCTGGTTCAGTCTAAAGCAACAAGCCCAACTCCCTGTTTTCCCTTTCTGTGTTGCTTTTTCTGGGAAATTTGGAATCCCAGCACAACAACTTGCAGCTCACACCTACCTAAATGACTGGCCCCATCACACCTACCTAAATGACTGGAATATCACAGATTACATCTAGCAGATGTGCCAAGTAAAACAATGACTAAATGGACCAAGTCAGGTCTATTTTGAGAATTATTTTTCAGCTTTAATGGTGCCACATAGCCACATTCAAATCCTTCTTTAAAATACCTAAACTATGTTAAGTTGCATCTCTGTTATTTTCTTGCCAAGTGCTTTTTAGTTCATACATCAAAACACAACCTTGGCAATCTAACTTCAGAGTAACAGAAAACAGCAAACTACCTGGTTCTTCCTGAAGAGAATTCTTACTGAAGAAAATTAGAGTAAATATAATGGGAAATTTCTATTAAATACAGCCAGAAATAAAACAACAGTTTACACTACAACCAGTAAATGTCACCTGATTAAAAGGCCTGTCATTCTGCACAAAGGATCAGTAACCATATGGTGAGATTTTTTTGCAAGTAAACACAGAAGCTGTTCAGATATTTTTGGCTTCGTGTATGTTTACAGAAATTTCTTAATGCATCTTTTTTCATTAATTCAGAACATGGTTTGTTTTGAAGGGAGTTTATCCAAGGAGTGTAACATGGTATGAAACCCGAGGTGTGCAGCAGCAACAATACCCTGTATGTATTTATTTACAGAAAAACTGTATTTATCCCTGGCATTTAGAAAGAAAGCTGTACCAGTGCTCTGTCCCATGTGTAGCCCTCTGTAGAGGAGATGATCTAGATACTAAAGAAACTGTATGAGATCCTTCAACTAAGCCTGGTTCTGCAAGGACCAATATTCCAGAGAGGACCCATCCCACTTTACCATCCTACAGAACAAATACAGGAATAAACTAATAAACCAAACAAACCCCAATAAACCAAAACAGAAACCATGGAACAGTTCAGCAAAAAACTGTCAAATTACTTTGCACAGCTTATTAGCTCTAACCTAGAATAAAGTCAGTATATACTTGCTACATGCTGCTCTTTCTAAAAGCGAGTTTCACATGTGATAGAGTCCCATGGGACTGTCTACCAGGCATGTTGGACCATCCTGTTACTGCAGGGGTTTGCAGGTACATCCTTAAATGCTGTATTATTGAATAAATTCCAGTGAAAGACTGGAAAGCTCTTACATACAGTAGATATGCAGAAAGTACAATAACTCTAAAGGAAGTAAAAAGTATTGTCTTCCACTCTGTGCAACAGGATGTGTGATTTGAGATAGTGTTAGTATTAAAAGTACAGTTATGAAGCACTCGATCAGTTTTCTGTGTGTCTGAGGCCACCAGCAAGAGTTGAGAGCATTTGTGCTTCTCATAGAAACTGATGGGCTTTGCAAAGCACATTGAAGCAAGTTTTCAGTCAAACTTGTTAGTGCTGACACATTCAGTCTATTTTTTAGAAAATAGTTGACCTAGATATTTATTTATCCTCTTGAGACATCTACTGCCATTGAGCTGCCTCTCATCATCAATAATCTTAATCCCAACTCTGTTCAACTGGGCAGAATTCCTCTTGAACTTTTTTCGGCCTACAGAATTACATTTTATGTCTCATGATTAAAGACATTATCCCAGGCTATCAATTTTTTTCCTTTAAATTGGAAAGTAGAGGTCTTACCTAGAATGGAGAAAAGAAACCAGTTAGGCAGCTCATCTTTTACTTGGCCCAAAGTGTAGTAATACAATAAACCATTTTGTCAAACACACGGTAAACCTGACTATGAGAGTTTTATATAAGTTTTGCTAAGTGATTATTTAAAAAAAAAAAACCAAACCCAAAAACCAAACAAACAAACAAAAACCCAAACAAAAAAACACACAAAAAACCCAAACAAAACAAACAAAAAAAAAAAACCACCAAACTTAAAGGACAACTTTGAACTTTGCCTGCATTTGGCTTTAGAGTTCCAAATGCTAATGATGCTGACAGACTGCAGAAACTCTTTAGGAATACTGTAATTTGGAGGCCAAGCCAGTCAGAGGAACAAATGCAGCATCAGTTTTTTGATGCATCTGTCCTGCCTGCTCTCTTTTCTCAGTGGAATTATTTAGTTCATGCACTTCGATCCTTTCACAGCTCACTAAATCAGGCCTTGTGACATGCACTAGGTGTGCTGTCATCAATCCAGAGGTAACAAACCAATACCACTGTCCCAGGCTTGCATGAGGCATATGAAGGAGACCTGAACACAGTTAAGTAGACTGACGACAGAAAATTTTAAGTAGATACTATACAAACTTTACTCCCTGTACCTCAGAGCAATTCTTTCATTTATATGCCTACTGAAAGGAATCAAAGCTGTGTAGACTGCATCCTTTCCAAGGGATGAAGCCATGGCTCTGCACAGGCCTCGCATCTCTTAGGAGCTAAGTTGTTCTGTTTCTAACAGGGCTTGAGTCTTTACATTTGTCTTTAGTGGGAAAAAAAACCCCACTCTGCTAAAAGCATCTGTGCTCTGTACAACACTCAATTCCCATGTATTAGCTGCTACTTAACTTTGGTGCCTGTTTTACATTCCATTCTGCAGCTCCAAGGCACTCAGCAGGGTGATTTTCAGTAGCCACTGCAGAGTGCTTTCCACATCAAAAAGAGCTTCCTTGGTTTTTTATCTTCTGAGTCACTTGTTTCTGTTAAATAGAAGGCAGATTTCACATGAGGACATATCAGAAAAAGAGAAGAGGTATGAGAGGAGCTTTTTGTGTGGTTTTTTGGTTGCTTGCTTCTTTTGGTTTTCCTTAGGAGGGGTTTACACTTTGTTTATGTAGCTGCCTGTATTAAAGTGTTTCACATGAATACATTTAGTGTAAACACCTCAGTCTGCTCTACAAGACTTAGAAAAAAGGAAAAACACTGTCTCTTCTGTGACCTCCTCCTTCCTCTAACCCCAAATCCGCAAGGCATTTGGGCCCATTCAAGTGAAAGAACCCTTCACCACTGAAACAAATGGGAATTAGGCAGGAAAATTCCCACTCAGCATGGCAGTATTTATGTGTCAGTGCTGCACCTTCCTCTACCTAACAGAGTTGTGAGTGACCTAGACCCCATGCACTGTCCTTGGGGAGAAAAAATAGGCACCACAGGATGGGATTCACAAAGTGCAGCCAAGAAATGAGGTGTTTGCTCCTGCCCAGCTGCTGAAGCTAGACTTGAGCATCCCAGCTCGCTCCTGTTCATAAGCATAAGAACTGTTCTCAAGGTGGACACCACAGAGTTCTTTTCACAGAACTGGGGTGAGAAGAGTTGTACCAGAGAAACATACGTGTTTTAGCTGTCATGCTTTACAAACATGGAGAGAATTAAATCCATTCCTCCCCTTTCGCTAGTAAGTTAGAAATGACAGGCAAAGCCTAAAAGTACCATACACAGATTCACATCCCAAGTTCAAAAGTCAGGCAAGTAATAGACCTGAACTAGTGTACTGAACGGATTAGTCTTCTGACAAGACAAAAAGTGGGACAACTTTCTTCAGCTTCCAGTGCGAGATCTGAGCTGAGGATGTCTTGGACACTGAAACTGGGATGAGGGACAAGTCATAAATGAAAGACTCAAAACTACTTAACATAACCAACAGCAACACAAGCACCTCCAACATCAGCTGAAAACACAAGGAAGTTAATCTTGGTTTTAGGTTTTGGCAGAAACACTTGTAAACCGTAATTCCCAGTTCCCAGTTTAAACTCAGATAGCTGACCCTGGGTGCCATGCAACACTGAGTCTGTGCAGTGAAAAAACTATACTCAACAGCTTTCACTAATGACAGAAACATTATGTTTTGCTAGAAGAAAACAGAACAACTGTTGATTTTTGCAATGAGAAAAATATCTATTACCTTAGAGTTTTATATGTGAAGAACCTAGTTCAGATCTCATGAAGCGGGGGGGGCTGGAGGGGGGGAAAAATCATTCTCAGTACAATGAATTTTAGAAAACCAAAGTAATCGGGGAGGTTGGGGGACTGAGGAGGGGGGTGTAGGTTGCATGTCTAGGATAAGAGAACAAATAGCACATAATAAAGCTTTGACTAATTTTTCATCCTAGTTTCTTGAAATTTCTTGCATGTCTTGCAGTTTTATTGCTTTTGGATAGCTTAGAGTTTATGCTCCCACCAGGCACCAAAACTTAATTACTGTTATTAATACAAATGTCAATAATGGTTATACAGGGGTAGGAAAATACAGTTCACTCAGCATTTTGTTATGGAGGTATATTAAAATACCTCTGTATGCCTGTCTGTCTAGTAAAGTAGTCAGTGAAAATTGTATCAAGACTGCACATAGGCCTACCATGAGGATTTACTGGAGCCTGATGTTTTGAATTTTTGTGGATTATTCTAGAAATGGTCTCACTTTCCCAAAGCTATATTTAAAATGTGGAGCTTTCAAAACTGATTCTGTATTGCATTAGCCAGGCCCAGAAAAATTATTTTAGAAGTCATTTTTTGGAGAAAGCACTTACTAAGCATTACTGGTAGGATAGGAGGAGACCCTCAGCCTCCCTTCTGAATGAAGCAGAACCTGTACGGAATGGCACGAGCGGCCCTTGTTTGAGGAAGAAGCAGCTCTAAAACAGCACACAGCCGATACATTTATGCCAACAGAGTTGTGATTATAACAGAAATCTTTCCCAGTTACGACTTTATAATGCAAGCTGTAACACAGACTTGGAGAAAACTATGAGGCGGTGGGTTTTTATATGGGGCCGGGTTTTTTTATAGCAACTATTTCTTCTCCATTGTACAAATAAGTAATTTAAATGCAGCTTCTCTTTCCATGTACACTTTTCAAATGCACTAATCTGTACTGACAAACACTCCATTCTTTGATTTGCAGATTAAGCCAGTAATTCTCTACTACACAGGTTCAACACACTCTAGGGAAAGCCACTTTCAAACTTCTGTACAATTACTCTACTCTGTGTATCTTGAAGAAACTTCCAAGATAATACTGCTTACAAGTTATCTATTACCTTTATTAGACAGGGGAGAGGATGAGAGAACCAACTAAAAATGGATTTAAAGGGAGGGAAAATGTAATTTATGTCACCTGCATGACAATTTAATTGTAATTGAGGTCTATAGTTAACTGCTGATAGCCCCAGTGATTTAAGACTTCATGCAACTCAGCAGTGAAGGCTGGGCTTTAATATTGTAGTATTAAGCTGAGAATTGAACAGACTCAATACTGAGGATTAGCAACATAAGATTATAAAAGACATTTCAGCATTCAAACAATAAACGGTTTTTTACATTTTGTCCTTTTTACAGGACACCCCTGGCCTCATTTGCCTTTTTTTGGTGTTCAGAAGTGCAGCAGAGCCACAAAGTCAGGGAACTGAAGCAAACAGAAAAGCTTTGGCTCGTGGTTAAAATGCATGGCTAGAAACACAGCTCAATTCCAGAAATCCCATTTGCTGAAATGGAAACCAGGCAACTGAGGCTATTCCAAACTGCATCAGAGATTAAACCAGCCTGTGACAAAAGAACCTTCATTCCAAATCCAGCCTAGTGCTTACATTGTTTCTGACTGAAATGTTTTTCACAGTAGCAGTGGACTTTCGTAGATGGACACTGGGATGTTCTATAATTTATATTACCACAGAGAGTAGCAATGCAATAAGTT